GCTCTCCGACATCCCCCAAGGGGTCCTGGGTTGCGAGAGGGTGCAGGCCAGGCTGAGAGACCCCACCGGTGCACAATCGGGGAAGCAAGAGGTTGGCCAGCAAGGGAGGGACAGCAGGAGGGCTCCAGAGTATGTCCAGGCCATCTCGCTCAATACTGATCAGCTGGACCCCAACAGCAAGCTCACCTACCAGTCAGAGCATCTTCCACCTGGTGGTCAGTGCACGTCATAGCAAGTGGTTGAGTGGCCTTAGCATATCATTAGCATATTACGCTTTGATTGGTTGAATGGCCAATGGACAACTGGACACTTAGCATATTAGGCTTTTATTATATAGGATGATGAAATCACAGGCAAATTGCCTAAATCCAGTAAATCTGAGAGGCTATAGGTTTTAAGTGTGATAAAAGATTAATTTCGTGGCTATGTGTTGGGAGAAGCTACCTTAGGAGAAATGGCTTCTTCACTTTAGAAGAAGCCATCCAACTCTACCCTTCTACAGCTAGTTCTGTTCTCTCAGTCTATAGGCCAGTTCATAATGCAGACATCCAGACTCAGCTAATTTTAGAAATGCTGATGTTACAGTAGACATGAATGTTTCTCTACAAACTCACAGAGGCCAAGAAAACATTACTTTATTTCTGTTAATCAATTTAACCTGAACTCCCAGTCACTTCAGAAGAAAAATATTTTATCTCAGGCATTTTGAGTGCGGCCGTCTCTCTCCCTAGAATTGAATATGAATTCATGGGACTCATGTGGCTCCCACCAAAGGACAGAAGAGTCTGGTTCCCCTGACTGTTGCTGCTGAGAAGCTCATTCTCTGAACCCACTCAGCCAATGGGCAGGCAGCTCCATCCTTTCACGCTAAAGACTCTTCCCCCTCATCCTCAAGGCCCTGTCTCCAGAATCCACCCCTTCATCCCACAGGGCTTGTGTCACTTCTGAGTGACTGCGTGGAAACACAGCACAGGTCTACGTCACTCAAAGACTAAAACAGCCATCCCCACTCTCACCTCAGGCAGGGGCCACTTCCGCCTCCTCGCTTCTTATAGAGGAAGGAATAGGAGCTTACCTATCATACGTGAGTAAGCATGTCTTGAAAGGAGAATACTAAAAATGTGTGTTGACTCTTTTCATTCCTGGGCTTGCAGGGGAGAATTCTAGGAACTCCATCTGAGGCTAATTGGAGCCCCTCACTTGACAGATATAACATATGCCTATGCAGGCCTGAGCTTTCCCCAGAGCTCTCTGCCTCAGCCTCTGACCAGAGAGATCTAACCAGCTTCCTCAACACTTACCCCTCAGAGAGTGCCTACTGTGAACCTCAGTCCTGGAAGGACTTTATTGCCAGCCTCAACTCAAAGGACTTGCTTGAACCTGAGGGTGAGATGTTGGCCTTTGGATCCAGCATCAGTTGCTGACTCTTCCTGCCCCAATCATGGTTCCAGCTGCAGGTGGTGAAAGCCTTTAGCTTGTGGTCCAGCACTGCCAAGTCTCAGAGTGCCAACTCTGTCATAAATGAGGAGTGCCACACCCACCAGTGGGCAGGTCCAAGATGCATCTGTAGCCCTAATCCCATGGGCTGGGAACCAAGGGGAAAGAAAAGAGAGGAAGAGTTCTTGGCTTGCACTTATTTCTCCATAGGGCCCGAAGCAGCCCTCTTAACCTGACCCCTGGGCCCATCTAACATCCTCAGGAAACTAGACCCTTCCCTATTGCTTGCCATTCCCCACCTCAACCAGGACCTGGTATTTTACATCAGTCGAGATGGACCTGTCTGGAACCACACGTGTTGTCTACTGGTCACACAAGTTGCCATGTCACACAGAGGCCTATCCTGGGGCCTACCAGGGAAAAGTTAAAACCTGCAGAAAGATTTCTTGTACTTTTATTGATAGTTTTTCCTCTAGTTGATAAAAACAATCTTTCAAAATTCCAACTTTGCCTCTGCTACAACCAAAAAAGGCAAGTCTTATCACTACACCCTTGAGACAGGCAGGACCTGTGTATGGTTTGTTGCAGCGATGATTGCCCCCCTCTGACAGAAGCAGAGTAGCCAGGACAGACAGGACCCAGCAGAAACCAAAAGGACGTTTCCCCCATCACTGAGGCCACCAGTGAAGTTTGGGCTGCTGGGGAAAGGGAGGGACTGGGGGTCTCCATGGAAAAGATGTGAGTTGGCCTCCTGTTGGGTTAGGCCAGTGCTGTGCTAGAGCTCCCTTGGCTCATACAAGCCAATAATGAGCATCTCTTTCTGGCTCTATTTTCAGTGGGTAGCAGCAGATAATGATAGGAGTGCCAAGCTGAGGGTATCAGTTTAGGGATCAGGGACCAGAGCCAAAAACAGAGGGGAATTTAAGAGTGAGGGCCAGGAAGTGAGGCACAAGTCCCATCTTCAACCTTCTTTAACATGTGAAGCCAGCCAGGTCTCTGGCTGCCAGAATCCTCACAATTGTCCCTGTAGGAATCCTGCACCCTCCTTCAGCTCTCTTCCCTTCCCACACCCCAAAGATAATGCAATTACTCACACTATTCCTCTAGGGGCTGGCTTCACATTCCTGAGCTCTCACTCACGCTTGGGGCTTGAACTTTCCAACTAAGAGGAGATTTTCCTCACTTCATGTCTATTCCCATCATTCCTCATTTTTTCTACATTCCTCATCCCATTTTCCTCAAACCAGAGCCACTGTTCAAGAACCAAATGTTCAAATCCACCATGATCTAATCCAAGCATGTCAAACTCTCAGCCAACAGGCCACATGTAGCCTGCCGGCCACGAATTTGACCTGCTTGAATTCCTCCCTCCCCCCCTTGGAAAACACTTCTTCTCCCCACTCAGAGACCCCAGGCGCCTCTGACATCTCCTCATCTCCTTTCCTCCCTCAAATGGAATTAATGCATAACCTTGAGAGAGTAAAATGAGGACAAACCCAGGAACACACACCTTCCTCCATTCCCACAGAGAAGGACTAATAAGGTCACTAGGGTCAGACATCTGAGGATTACAATAAACCACAGGCCTTGCCGAAACCGGTTTGGCTCAGTGGATAGAGCGTCGGCCTGCGGACTGAAAGGTCCCAGGTTCGATTCCGGTCAAGGGCATGTACCTGGGTTGCGGGCACATCCCCAGTGGGAGATGTGCAGGAGGCAGCTGATCGATGTCTCTCTCATCGATGTTTCTAACTCTCTCTCTCCCTTCCTCTCTGTAAAAAATCAATAAAATATATTTAAAAAATAAAAAATAAAAAAAAATAAACCACAGGCCCAGTCTCCATGGGTCTTATACACTGGCTGCTAAGATCTGGCCAGAGATGACATCTGTGTGAGGCTCCTTCCACCAAATGGAGCTTAAAGTGATACATGTGTCATGGTTACCATTTGGTTAAGCTATATGATTATTGCAGAATAGTTCAATTTTTACACAACCATCTCTACTGGTATAGATAGTGCTTTATTGTTTACATGTTCTCATTTAATCCTTGTAGCAACCTTGAGGTAGGTATTATTATCCCCACTCTACAGATGAGTAAACCAATGTTCCTAGGTTAGATTACTTGCTGAAGATCATACACTTATTAGGGCACAGCCACTGATAAGTCCAAACCCAAGGGAACTCTTTTGGGTAATTCACAGGCTACTGCCAAGGAAAGTAGAGCTGAAAACTTCAACTGGGAAGGGCTGGATCATTCATTGGAGCTCAAAGGGGATGAGGGGGGTTCTCCCACCAGGGATGAATGAGGCACATTTACAGGCCAAGACCAGAACCGAGCAGGAGAAGCCTAAAGCATCTGTGAGCTGTGAAGCAGGAAGAAGTCTTTAAGTTTAGTGAGAGTTGATAGTGTCTTCAAATATGCACAGAGCCCAGCTTCCAGGGTCTGGAGAAATGAGACGGCATCCAGGAGCTGCAAGTCCAGGGGCTGGCCATAGAGCTGGTGGGCCGAGGCAGAGAGCTGCTGCTGAGTGGCACCATCTCAGCTTGGCCAACGGTGTCATGACTTGGGGGCAGTGGTCCTTTAACTGTGTTAAGGCCTTGAGAATCTGATGAAAACCATAAAACATCCCCCACAGAAAAACACAGACACACATATACAGACAACATTTTGCATACGATTTCAGGGAGTCCATGGACCCCCACTGGAGAACTAACTGCTTTAGGGCAAGGGTGTCAACCTGAGTAAAGTCACTGATACAAACTTATCTTTACACTGCTTGTATTTCCTGACTGTTCCCCTTTTGTTGTTCCCTAATATTTAGAATGTTGTGAAATTTATTTTTAATGGGAGCCAAAGAAAGGGGGTCCAGCCTGCACTCCAGCCAGAGAAAGAGACCAGCTGTGCATGGCAGTGGTGGCAGCCAGGAGGCAAAACAAACAGAAATATGGGGTCACCTGTCCTGCTACCCTTCCCACCAGAAGGCCTCTTTGGGAGTGTTTCTCAACTCAAGAGAAGGGTGGTGAGAAGTGATTGGGGGAGTAGGGGAGGTTATTTCCTTTTAGAAAGCCAATCCTTCACTGGCTATAGGGTCTAAAGTTCTGCAGTCAATCCCCCACCCCAACCTTCCCCCTCCTTACCCCGATGAATACACCTGAGCAATGGCCCCGTCATTCATGCACATTTGGCAGGTGTCCTATGAACATTCATATACACATGCTCTTTCATGGAACAGGGAAAAGTGGGGTGGAGGGGGATCATGCACTCTCCACAGAGAATTAGACTAACTGGAAGAATCAGCAAAATCACTCCAAGGACTCAGTGCACATTAGCTTCCAACCACCTCCATAGCTCCTCCTTCTGGCCAGGGTCCAACCAGAAGGCAAAGTCATAGCTATGTCCTATGCCCCTCCCCAAATTTACAGCCCAAAATAATGGGCCAAAACTGAAGGGGTCACTGGGGTTCAGAGAGCAGGGGTGGGAAAAGCCCTGATTCACTGCAGAGAGAAGTTGTGATCTCTCATGGAAATCAGGAATCAGGAACAGACAAAGGCCTGGCCCGGAACCCATCTAAGGCCAGAGAGGGCTGACACTGAAGTCAAGTGATCACTCAAAGGCCGAAGAGAACTCAGAGGCCATGATGGTTTTCCAGGCCCAGTGAGCCCAACATCTCAATGGTCACTCCATTCCAATGGCCAGTCATGCAATAGTGGTCACTCACCCAGCCCTAGATGGATGTTTCATCACATGTGGCCAGAGGAGCCCCAGTTAACCGAATATGGGCTGGGCTCGGGCAAGGATCAAGCAGAAAAGGTGGAGGGAAGCCACCAAAGCCACTGCCCCTCTTGCCTAGAGCCAGGGGCAGCCGCTCATCTTCAGGAGAGGGAGAGGGAGGATCCTGGCTGTAGCTTGTGGTCCCAGATGGCGGCGCCCCCAGGTCCAAGCCCACCTTGTTTCTAGCCAGAAGTTCCCTCTGTCGCCGTAGCTGCTGACGTCGACCAATCAGGAGGAGAGTCAGGGATGCTGCAAGAACCCCCAAAAAGAAGCCAGCCAGTCCAGCCGCCACAGTGTGGGCCCGGCTTGAGGGGCCCTGATGGCTGCCCCATACCAAGCTATAAGCCGCTACCACTCGGGCTGCCCCGCCCTCCTGACATTCACAAGCATAAGCACCCATGGCCCCTGGGGTTACCACCACCTCTAGCCCATCCCTCCGGGGGGTAAAAGCAGTCACTCCACTGGGCTGGTGCCACACACAGGATGCCCAGGCTGAGCTTGGGGAACATGGCAATACCACATGCGCAGCTGTAGCCACCGGAACTTCAAACACTACTGGGTGTTCTGCAGAGAAACAGCAAAGGCATAAAAGGTAGTGAGGCTATAGGCTGTGTGGTGGAGGGCTGATGAAGAGAAACATAGAGGGATATCAGATTTGAGAAGGAACCATGGGGGCAAAGCTAAAAGGAGATTCCCAAAAAGGGTAAGGCCCAGGTCACTGGCTACCATATCTTCCAGGATCCAACTTTCAAAGTGGGTCCAAAATGGACAACTTTCTAGCCTCTTTCCACCCAACTCAACCCACATTTCCCTAAACCAGACAGACCTCCAGGCTCTTTAGGACACAAAGAAGAGACATCCGCTGATTCTATGTCTTGGACCAGCCTACAAAGAAGAGAATATTTGATAAATCCAGTGTCAATATTCCCTTCTATACTCCTCAGTACCACAGAATACTCACTCACTCGTTATATCTCCCATCATCGCATTAATCACTCCTGGAATTATCAGTCAACATTCTCATCATTAAAATTTCCCCCAATGCTCCTCATGACGATTAACATGTCAAATTCTACATACCTTCTAGCAGACCATAGAAAATTAAATTTCACTAGGTCTGTCAGAAGGATGTTATGTGGTGTGCTTTAAAAAAAACATTGGAGCCCTAACTGGTATATAGCTGACTGTCCACACCATAAGATTTCTCTGGAAACAAATATTAAAACTACAGGGTCTGGGTTTTCTTTTTTCTGATAAAAGAAAGTGAGGACTTCTCTATGAAAGTTAATCAAAATTCTGTGAGGGTTAGTGTGATGACTTTGTTTCATAATGCTGCTCATCTCTATATAGGAACTCTTTCTTCAACAACTTTTGGTACCTATTGGCCTCTAACAGATCTGTTTCAAATCATACAATCTTGGTACCTTCAGGATTTCAATGGACTGTGTCTGACAGAAGGACAGCAAGACAGGCTGCTCACTCTGAACTTCCTGGCACCACTACCACAGGGAGGGAGGGAGGGAGGCCAGGGAGACCTCTAGTGGGCTGTCAGTGAAGACCAGGTGGAACACACAAAAGCTTCAACCAAAAGGAGATTCCCTTTGAGTGTGAATTCCTTCAACATGAATTGGAGCCCCTGAAATAAGCTCTGAGAATACTCTGAATATGTAAAATCTCTGGGTAAAACCAAGTTTGCTTAGTCTAGCTGACAGTGGGGAACATGGGAAGGCCATAGGTGTGGCTATAGCCACAGGAACTTCATGGTCTATGTTTTCTCCCTTATATGAATTGAGGTATGAAGGGTAGAGTACACAGAAGTACCAGCTTGGTCATTCCTCACATTACTAAGAAGTATACTGGCATGTATGCACACCCCACATCCTACACACACATACATATATATGTGGAGGGGACCCCAAGGCTCAAGGACACAGGCTATCCAACACCAATTAAATTCTTATTTTAATGAATATTAGAACAATAAAGGAAAGAATAAAGTACTTGATTTCATCTGAGATGTGTCAAAGTTCTCCCAAGAGAAACTAAAATACCAGATCAAAGTTCTTAACCAAAATCAATGAACAAAAACAAGTACTTTTACTTCTAAAGTATTTGTAAGATTGGGATTTAGTAATATGCATAAATATACAGTTAATTAACTGGGCTTCAAAATAGGAATTCATGAAGTCAGTCTGAAAAAATACCTTCCAAGCAATCAATTAAAAATTACTCATTTGAAAGGAATCTTAATTAAATATTAAAAGACTTAAGAAACATATCAACCAATTACAACTGATGGACATTATTTTAATCCTGACGTAAGCAAACTATCTTTAAGTATATGCAACTGGGAAAATCAAACATTGATTAGATAGTTATGACATTAAGAAAGTGAGTTTGCACTATGATAATGATAATCTGGTTACATTTTTTAAAGCCTTTCTGTGTTAGAGATACACACAGAAAGATTTATGGATGAAGTGATATGATGTCTAAGATTTGCTTTAAAATAATTGGGAGTGAGTGAAGATAGTGATCAAGTAAGGCTGGTCAGTTGATGGTTGTTGAAGCTGAGTGATAGATACATGGAAATTCATTATACTATCTAGTTTTTGAATGTTTAAATTTCCTATAATAAAATGTTTTTAAGAGAGTTCTTATCTGATACAGATATATAATGAAATATTGTAGATGCATATAATGTCAGGAATATGATTCAATGTAGCACATGATTTTAAGTTAACTACTGAGTGGAAAATGGGTGACGGGATGCCCAAATGGACAAAACAAGACCAATTTGGAGGTTATTGGAGTAATCCAATTAAGAAATGATGATGCCTAGGACAAGAGTGATAGCAGTAGATAAAAAGAGAAGTGGCTGTGGACTGAGGATATAACAGATGGAGCTAGAGTCAGTACCAACTGCAATATAGTGTGGGCAATTTCCAGCTTGATCAACTGGATTCACAGAGGTCCCTTCAGAGAACCATGTGAAAGAACGAGAAAACAACAGTGCATGCTAAACCTACTGAATTTGAGCAGTTTATAAAGCATCCAAGTAGGCAGTTGGATAAGGAATTGTGTAGCTCAACTACAGATACATCTGTAGTTGTCAACAACACTCAGTTGGTGTTGAAAATAATGGGAATGATATCACCTAGAGAGTGCGTAGATGTGTAAAAGGAAGGACTGAACCGTGAGAAATATCAAAATTCAGAAAATGCATGGAAAGGAATGGGTAAAGGGAGACAGCTGGTGAGACAGGGAGGAAAACTGGGAGAATGCAGAGTCCTAGAAGGCAGCAGGAAAGAGTACTTCAAGGCAGGAAGGAGGGAGTGGGCAGCTGTGGAAACACTTCTAGAAGCTCTTATAACATGGAAACTGAGCAATGTATGGCAACATGAAAGTCAGTCACATGGTCTGGGGCAAGTCCAGCAACGTGGCAGGAACATGGATAAGACCGCGTGATGGACAAACAGATGAATTAATAGGGACTGACAAACACAGTGACACTAAAAGAAACACACATGGCAGCATGAACAGATCAGAAATAGGCAAGATATATGGAGAGGTCAGAGCTCTGTGACAGCAGGCAAGAGGTCAGGGCAGCCACACTCACCCTCCATGCTCGTCAGCATGGGCCACACACGCATCTAGCTGAAAGCTCCAGGCACAGACAGGGTCTTGGGCCAGGATGCACTCTGAGCAGCTCTGGAGACGTCCACAGTTGGTTGTGTTCACTTGTGTTACCTCAGTATGGGAGCCAACCAGGAGCCAGCTCTAGAGAAAGTGAGTAAAAAGGAAGAGTATGCTGCATCTCCCAGACTTCGTGGTCACAAGCTAGCTCTGATGACTCCCCACCAGACTCCCCGAAATCTATGACTCACTTGATACAATTTCATATTCTCAACTGGCTGTGGCTCTGGGAATAAGGCCAGATCCTCAAGGACGCTGAGCTTGGCTCCAATCCGCACAGCTCTGTGGAGGTGTCCATCCTCTAGGAAGCAGGCAGAGGGCACGACATAATGACACACTGTACCTGTGCCTGGGACTCTCATACCTGTAAGTATACAACCCTCTCTTTGACAAGAACATGTGTGCAAGGGATGGGCAATGTACTTGGCTACTAAACATACCTGTCCCCAGGTAGAGCACATCATACTCTTTCCCTGAGAGGCTGGCCACCCTGTGGGCCACAACTCTGAGATAGACTGTATCTGTAGTGACCAGCAGGGAGTGGCCATCAGCTGGAAGCACTGGCCTGTCCATGAGGGGGTGATCCCGGATGAAGGTGAGCACACGGTCAGGCAGGGAGAGTGAGGAGCCAAACTGCTGGAGTTTTATGTTATTAGCGATGCACTAGGGAAAACACAGGATAGGTGACAACGTTTCCCAGGGGCCCGGAAGTATCCGCGATGCTTACTTGGGCTCTTGATCTAATGAGGCGATTCTGGCATGGGGTGAAGAGCTGCTCCAGACCCCTTACCTCTCCAGGTCTGGGCTGGGGTACATCATTATCCATGACAGGCTGTCCCCTGTTGCAGTCATGTTTCAGCTCTCTGAAGGGACCATTCAGCACTGTCCGAATGTCTTGTGGTCGGAAGGCACAGACAGCCGAGATGGCAGCCCCCTCCCTGGAA